GTGGGGCATGCTAGGCTATAAGCACCTTCTAAGATGCCTTTGCAGAGCTGCAGAGGTGTCAGGTTGTGTTCAATCTGGTGAGGCTGAGTCCGTGTTACTTGCAAGGACAGCGACAGAGTAGGTGCAGACATGAATCAGAGCAGAGTCTGTGTGCGTACACCAAAATTCATGATACTGTGTACAGCAATTGGAAAAAGTGGATGCTACACAAGAAAATGTTTATTTGAACCAAAATGGACAAGGATACTAATATACATATGGTTGTGGACCTGCATCTCTGTACTGGATGTGAAATTGAATAACAAGCCAACTCTTCTTGTCTCTGTAGATCGGTTAATCTCCAGGGACATATTAAAGGTGTATATAAACATGCCTATAATTCAATTTTGCTTTATTCAATTACACTGCATTCAATTACATTTTTTATTTTGTAGGAATACAATTTATAACTGCTATATTTGGTCATGCCTGTACCTTAAGCCTTCTTCTTTGGAATACTTGAGAGATGAAAGTAAGAAAAGGTCCAAGCATTCGTATGTCTTCTTAGACAGATGTAAAAGAGGTAGGTTGTTGGAATAAATTTATCAAGTTTGTGCAGTTTGTTGTATCTGGATCCAAAGAAAAATGTGTTTCAATCAAACACTAAAATACAGCTAAAATGACACACATTAAAACATCTTTGTTTTCTTACGAGTGTAGAGCTACACAGGATATGGAACTGAATGAAGAGAAACTTGCAACTGTTAGCTTTTGAGAACTTGAGGTATTTAACTGTAAGTGTACAAAGTTGTACTATGTGTGGCAATGTGTATAGTCTTCTCCAGTAATTTGTCAGTGCAGTTTATAGGTCAGAATATGTGTTTTCCCTACTTTTGCTGACATTTTGGGGAACGTGCATCATTCAGAGGTGTGCTGCATGGAGTCTAGAGTTCAGTAGTTACCCTTTGCTTTTAGTGTCATCTTATCTGGTATCTTAAATGGTCAGGAATAAAAAAAACCAAACAAAACTTTTTCTCTTCATTACATGTTTTTTTTCAGAGTATTCCATTCACATTTGTAGGAAGGATTAAAAATAATAACAATAACAACAATAACAACAATAATAACAACAACATCAATAATGATGATGATGATTATTATTAATAACAATAATAATAATAACAACAATAACAATAACAATAACAATAACAATAACAATAATAATACTTTTTTAAGTGCCAGGACTGCCAGTAAGCAATCATTTCATTAATGGGAATTGTCATTACTACAAAGCTGATGATTTGCAGTGGTGCCACACATTGCAGCAGTGAAGAGAATGGCTTTTTCTGTCCCTTCTTTGCTCAGGCTCTCCCCAGCAGCTCTATGGCCCTGTGTCTCTTTTGCAGGCTACATATAACATAAATTTCCATTCCCCTGACACCTCACACACTGACATTTAATTCTTTATCAATTCCTGAAATTCTTTTGGTTTTGATAGAAGAGCCCCACATTCCTGCTGAGCTGTCTGGCTTGGAGGAACATTTGAAGAGTAAAATGAACTGATGGAAAAGGTAAGTGATGGCATTGATCCTTGAAAGTAGCTAATAAATCAAACAGGTTTTGATAAGTCATTTTTGCATGGTGAAGGTTTGTTACTTTACATAGTGGAGCTACTTGATTTCCTTAATGCAGGCCACTTTTTACAGACTCCTTTTAAACAAAACAGAACAAGTATGAAAAACAATTTGTTAATGCAGTGAATACTTAGTTACTGAAAGATGCATGAAGGAAACATTTCTGAAAGTTCTCTGAAAATGTTAATACACCCATTACAAAATACTACCCAGGGAAGTTCAGTCTTCTCATGGAGAGTCATACTGCCAAATTAAGACACAATTCCCTTCAAATAAGAGTGATTTATACTTTCTGCCCAAAATTTGATTAAAATGTTCATTGCGAATGGGCAGTAAGAATGGTCAATGAAAATATGCAAAATCTGCTCTTCCAGAAGCTTGGGGGAGGGAATACTCTGACCTCACATGCCAAAAATGTGCCTTTCTGCATATGTATATGGAAAGATACTTTCACTGAAATTGTTCACATCTCTCTAAACATTAATGTCACAGTACTTATACAATCATTTAATGGACACAGCCAGGAAGCAACACTGCACAAATTCCAATACCACACTATTCCTTTTCCACAAGGTTAAGTAACAAGGAAAATTTAAAAAAGTCACAAAAGTGCATGGAAGAAAACTTCCAAAACAATCTGCAAAAAGATTGGCATCATGCTCACAGATATTCCAAGAACTGAAGGAATGGCTAAGCTTATTAGATAAACCTTATCTAGTGAATAATTAACAGGTCAGCTTCAAGGTGAAGCTCAATATAGACTGTTCTTTTGTTTTTGTTGTTGTGACTGAGATGTTTTACTTTTAAGGTCTAAAAAGGGGTTATACCAGGTAATCCTGGCAGGATTAGTTGGGAGATACATTCATTTAATGGATCATACTGATTTAATTTTTAAATTTAAATTACACTTTTGATAAGTATTCATGATTCATAGGATGACATCTAATTCAGTGTTTTGTCCATTTTAGAATTATGCATACACAAATGTTAAATGAACACTGTTGGTAAGATCACAATATTAGTCAGAAGTCTGAGAATGTTCCTTCTGTAAATACATGTTTATAAAATTGGGGACTACATAATATTTGTTTCATAGGGGCCCTGTCTCTTTTGGCAGGAAGCATGGATATGAACTGAGCTTGTGAAGTTAAAGAGATTATAGAGTGCAGTTAATAGGACTTCTTCCATGTTTGTGACAGAAGTTGAGTAGTGAATGCAGCAAAGGCTTCCAGGGAGAAAAGAACAGGTCAATGGTTAAGGCAATTGAATGCTGTCTTGAAAGCTAAATTATAACTTTGTCCCTGAGTTTGTAATTGATGCTATGCGAGTTAGCTACATTTATCAAAGGTGGCCACTAAGCAATTCTTTCAATGTCTGTTGAGAATCTGATTTATCAATGTGCTGAGTACTTAAATACAGATCTGAAGTGAATGAGAGCTGTAAGTGGGTAAATAAAGTGTGGCATGGTGCCAAATAGTTATAAAAAAATAAAGTCCTAGGCTACTCTCATATGAGACACCTAAGATTTGTGAATTCTTTTATCTTAGCTCCTTTGGATCTCAGAATTCCCACTTGTTAACTGAAGATAATAGCATGCCTTGGATTGTAGCAATGCTTGAAAACAAATGCGCTACTATTTTAGAAGCGCCCCGTCAAAATAACCATGGAAGAAAAAGCACTGCTTCTTTGAAGAAAATACGATAGATAGGACATAATGCCAGATTGACTGGGAGAAACAGTGGAAAACTTCTCATCAAATAAGTACTTTCTATTCCAGTACAATGCATGAAACAGGGCTTCAGAACAAAACTAGTAAATGCCCATGTATGCTAAATGATATTGTAAAATCAAATGCATGCAGCAGTGAGGCAATTTAAAGTTTCACAGATCTGCTGTTCCCCAGCTCCTGAGTGTTTTGGCATGGCTCCAGTATGGATGGATATTCGTGGGGATTGCAAAAGCCCCATTTATGTTTGCTTTCTTGCCAAATACAGTGCCTAGACCATGGGCATGTTAGAGCCTGAACAGTTCTTCTGACAAAGTAATGTGCTTGACAAAGTTAGGAGTAGGTTAAAACTGGATCTTAAAACTGAAAGAGAATGCCAGATACAGTAAATAACAACAGTACAAGCCCTGTCTAGGACACAGCGATATGGCTATAAACACCCACCCTCATGGCCCGGGAGGAGCATCTCCTACGGCTCTCTGGAGAGAAGCTTCCCTTCTTCCAGCAATGGATCTGACAATTCAACAGAGTGCCCAGTGTGATGGCACTTATGGGAACAAATGGGGTGGTGCGGAAGTTCATTGCCCACAAATAGAACAAGCCTCAAAATGGAAATTTGTTATTAAGACAGGAAAAGGGGTGACTGATGCAATGAGCTAACAGTGTATCCATAAACAAGGAGCTGAAAAAATGGGTGAGGACATACACTATGAATGGGGTATTTAAAAAATCTGTAAAATTTTCTACTCTTACAGTGATTTTTTTTACATAACAAGGCAAACATATGAGGTAACTGGTGCTAGTGCCTGGTACCAACCCAGCTGTAAACCATTTTCTGCGTCAATCTCGCAGATTTCACAAAAGTGAGCCTTCAAGTTTTACTTGGGAAAGACCACCACGCTGTCACGACTCTGACAGCAGGTCAATAAAAAGGTCCAGGAAAATACACTTATCTAACTGCTGTGTAAGGATTATTTTATAGGCAGTTTCCCTGTAGTACACTTTACATCGTTATGTGTATTCCAGGAGCTGTTATGAACTACAATCTTATCATTTGAGATAAGACGCACTATGCAAGCAGTCAGATATGTCACAGTAACGTGGTATCACACCCCACACACGGCCGTGTTCTTACCCACGACTCCTGCTATGAAAACCAATGATAAAACATTTCCTTGTGGAGCAGGAGCAATTCAAATAGCTAAAAAGCGTTTGTTACTTCTGTTGACAATTTTGAAAGGTGAGGAAGCACACTGTAGGACAAGTTTTGCCATGAGATAAGATTATAACAATTTAAAGTGCATTTATCACTGGGAAGAGAATGCTTATTCGGTGATCTATCCGGGGCTTAGAACTAACTTTACCAAGACTTTAGATGATCACAGGTTTCACTTCTTACTGTGAGAGTGGAGGACACTCCTGTGACTTCACTTTTTCTAGCGTATGTGCATAGTAATGTGAATATTTATAAGCAAAATAAAAATATCTCCCGAAACAGGTACCCGTCTGCTTCATCCCTCTCTTTCCCTTCCCCACAGGGCAGAGAATAACTAACGCAGGAGCCGTGAGTCCCCGCTTGATGCACTCCAGAAAAATGCTCAGGGGTGACACGGGGAAATAGGGGCCGAGGGGACGGGCGCGGGGACTCCGCGGGTTGCCCGCGGCCTGGCTCCGGCCCGCCCCACCGCTCCCGGGCCTGGCCGCAGCGTGCCGGGGCCAGCCTCCCTCCGGGCCCGCCCCACCGCCCCCGGGGCGGGCCGCCCCCCGCCGCGACTCATATAGGGGCTGCCGGGGGTGCCGCCGGCACTGGCTGCGGAGCGGAACGCTCTCCCCTTTCTTCCGTCCCGGCAGCTGCTTTCCCTGGGCGACGCAGGTGAGCGGGCGGCCGGGGCCTGCGGGCGGCCGGGGCCTGCGGGCGGCCGGGGCCTGCGGGCGGCCGGGGCCTGCGGGCGGCCGGGGCCTGCGGGCGGCCGGGGCCTGCGGGCGGCCGGGGCCTGCGGGCGGCCGGGGCCTGCGGGCGGCCGGGGCCTGCGGGCGGCCGGGGCCTGCGGGCGGCCGGGGCCTGCGGGCGGCCGGGGCCTGCGGGCGGCCGGGGCCTGCGGGCGGCCGGGGCCTGCGGGCGGCCGGGGCCTGCGGGCGGCCGGGGCCTGCGGGCCGCTCCCCGCTGCGGCTCCCCGGGCTAAGCGCGTCGTTCCCCCCGCAGGCTCCTCCCGGAGAGAGGCGGCTGTCCCGTCCCGTCGCGGCTATGGCCTCCGTACCCTCCGCCGGCTGCCTCCTGGCCAAGAACCAGTACTACAGGAGTAAGTGCTCGGCGGGGCCGGGAGTGCCGGGGCGCTGCGCTACGAGCGCGGTACTTAGCCAGAACACCGCGGAAAGTAGGGAAACGAAGTTGTTTTGGACTTCAGCAGTCAAGAATAGACTCGGTTGTTTCGCTAGCAGTGTGTACGCGGTCATAATGTTTTTCACGGACTTCAGTGAGAGTTACGCAACCAGATCTCGGTGTGCTTTTAAGTGAAGGGTGCGTAGACTGAGAGATCAATTTACAGAAAAGTTTTAATATAAACAACTATAGTAGAATGGTGTCTGTAATACAGAAGTTATGCTTTGTAGCTAAGTAAGCTTATATTTGTAGATTGTTTGTTTCCTCCAAGATAGCAGCAGGTCTGAAAAATTCTTGGCATAGAAAAATTCTTGGCACTTAGCATAGTGTATACTTTCGAAGGATTTCCCCCCCACACCCCCCTTATGTGTGTTTCTGTTTTCCATGAACAGCAAGACAGAACTCGGAATCCAGTGTTTGTTCTAGCTCCTCCTGTTGTTCAGATCCTGTTAACATTGCCGACCAGGACAAAACTTTTCATGGTATTGTTCCCTTCTTTCAAATAGTCTTCTAGTTTTGTCTGTCTGCCTGTTACTCAGCCTGTGTCTAATGGTGGGGGCTTTTTCTCTCCTGGCAGGATTACCCGAATTAATTGATAAATGTTGGTGGATAAAAAGCTTTTTCCATAGTGAACCGTCTCCACCAACTGTTGGCAGAAAAACACTGTCAGCAAGCAGGTGAGTCCTGTTTTTACAACGATGGGGTTAACTTACTCATTCCATTTTTCTTTTTATGAAAGTTGTTACTAAACAAGTTGTAAACAGCTAAAACAATCTGGGGGTGGGGGGTGTGGTGCCATTTTGATGACTTAAAGATATTGCAAGTGTAAAGCTCTAGAAGCTTCCTATGTTTTCATTTTAATAAATGAACTCATATGCTGCTTCCCATTAAGCAAGTGCTAGTGACGATTACTGTTCTACATCTATAGTGATATTTATTTAATCATCTACCCACAGTACTTGCATGACTGTTTATGCAGTTTACCCATTTCACTTTATGTTAAAAATCTGATAGGAATGCATTCAAAAAATACTTGGGCAGATAAATGTCTTTGAGGAAAATACAATGATAATTCTGCTCATAACTTTTTCTATATATTTCTGCAGTACCAACAGTTGACTAGGACAGCATGCTGGCTTTTCTGACTGAGATACTACGTACAGACTTGTTTTTCTATGAGGCTTGGGATCTTCCTAATGTCTGGGTTCAGCTGCAAGAAGAAAACAAAACCTTTAGGAAAGTGGAAAAGTGTATTTGCAAAATATTTGTCAGTAGCTTAAATAATATTGCTTAATGGACATATCCATTGCCTACCTTGTTCATTACAGAGTTGCTGTAATTTGAGATGTCTCTCTAATGGAAGTTACCAAGATTAAATATCTTGATGACTTACTTGGTTAGTTAGAGAAAAATGACAGTAAAAGTAAGATATTTTAGGTTTAGGAGAAGTGTGTGTATTGAGTAACTCTGCAGTAGGTGATACTGTTAAGTTTTACCTTTAAGATACCAGCTCTATGGGCAGTCACACCGAGGCAAACAAGATTCTGGACTATGTCAGAGTAGGACTGCTGTATGGTACATGTTTTCTATCAAGTATTTGTGTACCAGTTACAGGGAGTAAGTTTACAAGAATGCTTGTTAATAGCTTTGCATTTAGAAAGCCCAGTTACACGAAGAAACTGATTGGTTTGGCCTCTTGAGAAGGGTACATATGTCTCAACCTCAAATACGCTGTACGACTCGTACATATCTACACATGTTGCTATTTGAGGAAAATGATACAAGAGGTAGATGGACACTGACATCCTAGCTCTGTGTTGGATTACTCTCACCTGCATTGCTGTAGCTTAAAGAGCTACTTGTTCTCATGTGACTAATACTATCAATATTCCCTACTGTCTGTCAGCTTAGTTATGTGCTAGGTCTGGCCAAGTGTTCAACTCAATCGCATTGATGTTATTAACCGAGTCTACCTTTGTCGTGATTCATGCTCTTTAAGATACTTTAACATAATTTCATTTGGTCTTCAGCATTGTCAAAGCAATACAGCAGATTTATTTTACCATGTATGACTGAAATGTGTTTAGAGGTCATAGAAAATAACAAGTATTTGGTTGGGTGATACCATTTCTGTAAATTATCTATGCAACTTTTTTGATGTACTATCACTAAACGTACTTGACTTTTGTCCATCACTGGATGACCTGACAATAGCAAACATTAATGTAGCCAGCATTTTTCATTGTAGGTTAATAGGTGGTCATGGTTATGCATAACTCCAGAGTGTATCAGGTGGTTGCTTCAGAAAGCTTGCAGTCTTGGTGAAGACAATAAGTTGCATATGACAACAGAAAAGAACACCATGCTGAAAACGTAGTTTCAGGAGTCATTAAATTTACTTGTTACATATCTGACTTCACTGCTCTTGTGTAGTGTCATCTTTGTCCTTTCTCTAAATGTACAGAATGAACTATTTTTTATACTAATATGTTTTATTAATAAAAATTTAATCAGTATTTGGTCTGACTTATTTTTAGCCTCTAATAACTGGTGTTCACTTGCTTGTGGTGCAGTTGGTGGGTGGTTTTTGTTTTATTTGGTTTGGTTTTGATTTTATTTTAGTGAAGTATTAGTGAAACTTAAAATTTACAGCAGTCTGTGTTGTGAGTGTCACATTCTTCCTTTAGTCAATTTAAAGTCTGATGTGAGCTCAAATGGAATGTAAGCTAGGAAAAAGACCCTAACATAATGTTGTGTTGTAAAGGAAGGGCTTGTTTCAAGAATGTGATTGTGTCTGTCTTTGAAGATGCTTGAAGCCATAGAAGAAAGAAATGCTGTAGCCCTTGGTGTACGTGAGAAGTGCAGGATTCAGAAACACTGTGGAAAAGTACAGTGACGAGCTTTTGTATTGCTTGCTGAGCTTAAGCTGCTTCTGTCCTTTTATAGTCAGAAAGCATACTGTTGGCATTCATCTGCTTGGGCTCTGAACTACTTGTTTTTGTAATGGCACCACGGTGATGGGAGACTGTGTTCTGGAGAGGTGCCCTTGTGCCATCCCCATCATCTTTTACTGTAATCAGCTCAGCATTGGAGTGGCACCACTCCCAACTCATAGTTATTTGTGCTGGTTCTTCAAAGTGGAGTTATCCTGCAATGAATCAACTCTATTAAATAACATCCAATGTTGCTATGACAAACTGCTGAGAGGATATGGGTAAAGTGGGCATTAAAGTGCTTGCTAGTGAAGGACTGCATTTTGTTACATCATGGTAATAAGAAAATGTCAGTTTTCCTGAATATCAATATAATATAACTTTGGAGGGAGGGGAAATCCAAAATTTAAATAATGTAAAGCGAAGCTGAGAGATATATGGAAGGGAAACTGTATTGTATAGCTGAAATGCAGTTTAGAATAAGAAAAATGGGAAAATATCTGGGTAAGACAGGTACAAATGTTTGATCAAAGATTAATTGTAGTAGAAAAAGTGTTTTTTCCTGTTAGAAGGACTATAGGTAGAGATATATATTTTATTGAAGTTAATCTGTATGTTGTTATCCATTTAGAAAATGTAAGTATCAGACAGGAATTATGCCATCATGTAAGTGCTATGTTAGATCAAATTATTGTCGCTGAGTTAGGAATGGATACATGGACTTGAAAAAGACTACTTTTTTTTTTTTTTTCCCTCAAATGCACATACAGCAGTAGTGATATTCAATAATGGGCTTCCAATTCTTTACTAAAAGGAAAACCTAAGTCATAGTCCACTGTTCCCAGTAATAACTGGTTTCAGGAGTCAAAATAAAAGACAAATTTTCCATCATTTGTTTTGGTTCAAGAAGGATGAAGTCTTCCTGTTGACCACATTTAGCGAGAGAAATTCATTACCATGAAGTAATCTTTTTCCCTTTAGTTGTGGTTTAGAAGGAATACCACGAAGTGGCATTTCTTTCCAAGAATTTTCTTGCCTGTATGCGAGTTAAGCAATACTACGTATTGTGGAGGGACAATAGTAAGGATTAACTGTAAAGACTATAACTATTGTTATTAAAAGGGATTTTTTTTTGTATACTAGTCTTTTTTGCAGAAGTGAGAATGATAAATGAACTCATTTAAGAAATGTACTCAATATAAAAATGAACAGGAAATCAAACAGAAATTCAAATTTGAGTTGTTAGGAATAAGTAATTTTTTTTTTTCTAGTATGTGCAGTGATTAAGACTCCCCTAAACAAGAAGTGTTCCTTTGTAAATTCCTGGAAAGGGTAATTTCTGTTTGTGATATTACATCACTCTGATATTTTAAAATGTGTGCAAATCCCCCTTTTTTTTTATTTTTTTTTCATGATGGTAACTAATCATGCATTATTTCCTCTTCAAAGCAGTTTCTCTCTTATTGTCCCTTCTCAACCCTTCTGCAAAGGAAAACCCAAGCAGGGTTCATTCCCACATTTCTACCAGGATTAATGTTGTTTGCAAAACATTTCTTGGATTATTGCACTGAGAGGTGGTGGTTGTGAGAATTTTGACTGTGACTATGTTCGGTATCCTGGCTGACTCTTCAGTGATGGAGGGATTCTGTCATATTTCTCTTGTCATGCACTGTGCCATTTTAAGCTGTTCTGGCAGCAGCAGATGTGAAATATACTGTATGTAATCACTGGAAGATAGGTCTTTCTAATAGAGTCTATCACTAATAGGGAAGAGAATCAGATCATTATATTGGGAGGAAGTTGGGGAAAAGCCTCTTTTTTCCACTTCTCTCTCTCAGAAACTGTGGAGGAAGCAATCCCTGTTTCTCAGCCCTCTGCCAAAAGAGAAGCTACAGCTCCCAGTTGTAATACTGAAATAAAAAGGCCCAAACAATACGCCTCGAACCAAAGTTGACTTCTGAGTGAACCCCTCGACCAGCAACCAGCATCTTATCAGCATGAAATGCAGCCATGGGAACTACCCCTGAGAACTATAAGTGAACAACAGGAAGGAACTCGAAATCTCAAACGTAAAGAGGAACTCGTCAGACGTGCCCGGATCCTGGCCAGATCCGGACATGCCTGAGTGAGGGAAGTCAATCTACCAGATATCTCCTGTGCGTTTTGTCATATAGATTTATAGATTGGTTTGTTAAACTGTAGAAAAGCAGGACCCTCTCACAGCAAAGACGGAGGCCTCACCTCCGAGCGGACGCCCTGCTTGGGACTTCCCAATTTCTGGGAAAGACTCTCCGATCCTTCGCTGTGACGGGGCTCCCCAGCTGATGCACGGGTCTGGGTGATGGTAAAGTATGAGGGCAATTGGTGATGGATCTTCCTTAATCACTAGGGCTAGCTTTATGTAGTAATAACTAGGTGCATTACCTTGCTTATTCTTTCTGCTGCTTTAAACTAAAGTAAAATAAGCCTATTTCTTTAACTTGGTGTCTGTGTCCTTTGTGTTAAGCCCGTTAATTGGCAAAACAAATACTCAATGGTATGTTGAGAGACATTCTATCGTGTATGTTTGTTGAAAATAGAATTATAAAAGTGCTTGCAGTCATGATGGCAGGACATGATCTGGACAAAGATACAATATTTTTATTAGATCAACTCATAACAGGAAAAAAAAGGGGCTTGTACACTCAAAAAGTTGTTGCATTTCTTAGCTGTATCAGCCATTCCATCTCCTTAAAATGTTGCAATCTTTGGTTTTAACAAAATTGATTTTCACTTATACCTGTAAAGCAGGACCTATAATCTCACTTTACTTGTTTAGTTGAGGTAGTTTAGCTGGGTACAAGATAAAACTGTCTACAGGTTTGTGAGGTGCTCTGAGGTAATAGCCTCTACCATACCAGAAGAGGACTGACAGGACTGGCTGGACACCAGTCATCCTCCTGGGATCATCTCCTGGACAGGCTGAGGCCAGGATGGCCAGGAGAAATTCATCAATACTGGGAATAACTTTTTAAAAAGACATTATTCAGGTTTTGGTTTGTTTTGCCATTTTTTTTCGGCTGTTGCTCTTTTTGCAACATGTGAAAAACCATCTCATCCTGACTTTGAAGTAGTCACTGATGGAGAGTAAAACACCCTAGTAAAATTTTCAGTGGTTGATCACACTCGCCTTTAAAAATCTTCTCCATTGCTGCCAACTTTAATTTCTCTGTTAATGGCAGTTCAGGGGTTAGTCAGGAATGCATGACTCGAATAACTAGCAAAAAAGTTTTAAAGTGCTGATTCTGCCTCCCCTTCAAGGATCTTGACAGTGATTTCCAAAGAGGTTGTATCATTTTGTTTAATCTCCAGCTACACCAACTTCAAGAAGTATTTCAGCACAATAGGAGTGGATCAATAGGTGGAAGCTACTGGAGATAATGCTTTTTGCTTCTGTGAGTCAAAGCTAAAAGCCAGGCTTTTAGCATATGTTTCCCACTAGTTTACTTATTTCAGATTGGGTGAGGACATACAAACTATTGCTAAGCCAAGTGAGAAGGGGTGATGATGTGGTTTTGGGATGGCATAAAAATATTAACCAGTTTGAAATCTTGGACCCTAAACCACATGCTTTATCCTGATTCACTTGAAAGTGAAATTTAATGAAAAGATTCCTTAATATCTCAAATCATAATGTTTAAAGAGTTCTACCCATTGCAACAAATTACATGTATGAAATAACACACAAATTCACTTTTTAAAAAAATTTAAAAATAACTTCCGATCCTCTCTGATGACATGTATCATGCAATTTTGCGTGTTTAATTCTGCTGCCGCGTTATATATAGAGTAGCTTCTTCATCTCAAAAAAAGCACTTTACATTTTGGATAACATTTTGGAACCTATAATAGGTTCTTACAATAAACCTATTTTTGGTATAACCTATCTAAGAACATCTAAATTGCAAGTTTCACTGCCTCATAATAGTGCAGAAATTAAAGGATAATACTAGGGGTAAAATACACAATGAAATAAGTTCCTTTGAATAGCTATTTTCCCATCATATTTTAACCAGGTTAATTTAATGCTGTCATGACTCCAGTCAGACCACCTGTACATTTAAGTTCAGGTGAAATCTAGAATTACTACTGAATCACACAGACAGTATGTGTTAGTGGCTAGATAATTTCTCCATGGCAGTAGCAGATTGAGCAAAGTCTTGAATGTAAAGCAAGGTACATTGTATGTAGTAATCCCTTCATGTTTTCTTACAATAGAATGCCTGCCTACAAAATATGCAATCAATTTGGGGAAAAAAACAAAACACGGCACCAAAAAACCTTTCTTGTTCTCATTCTATTCTTTCCAAAAACATATTTTTCTAGCTGAAGCATTAGTTGCTTTGTATTTCTTTCTAATTTCATTGTGAAAGAATGACAAGCTGAAATACATTAAGCAAACAGATTGTTACTTTCACTACTTCTTTTCCTGGTTGTCATAATTATTGTCCTACATTAATCTTATGCCATTATTGCTTAATGTATTTAGTGGGGGAGTTGTTTGTTCTCTGTTTATCTGTCACCATACTGTGAATGTAACAGGA